CGAAAAGACGGGTCATGTCCTCGGCGAACATAGCGACGCTCTCGTTTGGTTTTTGAATTCGAGCTTCCAAGAGACGTTGCGCATTCTCCTTTCTGTCAAGACTACTAAAGGTGTCAATCAGCTGGTTGCGGAAGTCATCCCACGTAGCCATGCTTCTTTCCCTGTTGATGTACCACGTCTGGGCATTGTCTTTCAGGTAGAAGTACACATTCGTGAGCTTGTCTTCTGGGGTGGCCCACTGGTTGTACTTTACGCAGCGTTCGAACTGGTCCAGCCAGTCTTGTGCATCTTCATAGGTCTCACCACGAAAGCAGTCAGGAATCATGGGATTCTGAAGTGTCATGTGCGATGTAGCTGCAGTGGCCATGGTGGTTGAAGGAGGCAAGCGATTGCTGGCAGTTTCTGGAAAGGGATTGAGCTCGGGAGCTAGGCCTCGCAGACGGTGGCTGGAACGGTGGACTGGTGTGTCGACGGGTGGTAGTGATTCCGAGCTTGAATGTCGGGTCCGCGAAGGGGTGCCAAGCATGAAGACGTACCCAGCACTTCCACCAGTGTGACGACGAGAGATTGACGAGCACACAAAGCGCCTCAAAACAAATACGATTTATCGATCGCAGGAAACAGATGATGATGATGATGATGATGAATCCACAGACATGGCTCGTACCCACTCCGGGGGATTGGCCAAGATGATGATGATGATGATGATGAATCCACAGACATGGCTCGTACCCACTCAGGGGGATTGGCCAAGAATCGATGACTTAATTAAGTAGGTTTTTTTTTAAATATTGAATCCACCCACCAGAAAAAAAAGAATGAAAAAAGTAAAGACACCCTAGTCAGAATGAATGGAGTGCAATAGTTGCTTGTCACTCGTGCAGATAAGACAACTATTCATTCAAGACTGCAATGACTTCTTCGTCTTTTGCCCTCGGCCAAAGACACTCGCGCTCCTTCGTTGTCGTCACCACTGGCACATACGCGCGTCATTGTGCAGCCGTGTGTACTCTTCGGGAACCGCAATTCTCTAGCCAGTCTTTGTACTAATGTTGGTTGGCCTTGTGTTGAACGCGTGGCATTTTGACGCCCCGCTATTCACCCAAGAGGGGGAAGGGGCGCAAAGTGAGCCCCACATATTGACCTAATATGGAGAGGCTTGAGCCTCGAAAATTGTTGGCACCACCCCTATAAACGGGCACGCTGCCCGAGCCCAAGGTCGACGCCGCCAATGCCAGAATCCGGACGTGCGCCCCGCAAAGGCAGAGCATTCGCAACTTGTCCCAAAGTCATGACACCTGTAACCCTTTACTGCTTGAATGAGGAAACTTCTGAACAGAATAAAAATTTTTACATTTCCCAGCTCTAGATGGCAACATTTAAATAATTTCTCAGTGAAGTTGCATATGTTGCAACTTCGATGCATACTTTTATGCATGTCACACATTCTCGACATATGCCTCGGAGGCGAGGACATCGCAACAACAACAACGAAAAAAAAAACGCGCTTCGGTATTACGTAACATGTATGTGTGCCCCCTCATCGGTTCATACACACCAAATGAACAAAATCATTGAAGATAGAATGTTACGTCATACAGGCGAGAAATAACGGAGAAGTGAGAACTGTTGCACGTGATCTCCGCAGACATCTAGTCCCCGTCCGTTAGGAAAAGACAGCTTCCGAGGAAAGCCAACTTCGCAGCCGCGGATAGTCGGCATATCATTGTTTCAACGATCTTTGTTCGATGTAGCCTTCTGTTTAACTGACGTTAAAGCATGGCGTCGTATTTTCGAAATCGGTTCGGTAAAGAAAATGAGTGTACTTTGACGTTGCTCAACCGTTCGAAACGCAGAGGGAGCTTGGGACACGGTAAGAATGTTCTCGTTTACTTGGCCTGTACTCTATGCGAGTGATTGCGCCATGTCTCGATTTCTTGATCACTACACTGAAACCAGTAGCTGTTTGAAGGGACACTAAAATAAGTAGTTAATCAGTTTCGATTCACGAATTTTACTCTGAAACCTCTAATGACGCCTCATATCCACGCGTGACGTCACGGTTTTCAAAGTGTACTTGGCGCATTTTAGTCCCATTCGCTCTGCAGAATTTGGCGTATGGCCGCGTCAAAGAACAACGTACTTCATTTTTGCCGATTAGGAAGTGCGTAGGCCCTAGTAGGCGCAGCAGGAGCAGTCAAAATATGTGACGTCGTGGCTAAAGGCGCGGAAACTTCAACGTGGCGTCACAATTTTTGTTTCGCATTTCTAGCTTCTTCTCGCCGCAAGTGTAGTGTTTTTGGTATCGTGAGGGAGTCGTTTATCAATACGAGGGAAATTATTTCGGTCTTTAATGCCCCTCTAAAAGGACACTTGCGAGAAAAAAATTCTCCTAGAAGCAAATTACTCTTTCACAATTACTGCGCTTGCCCCTAGAGTACACGCATGGCGAGAAAGAAACCGTGCAAAAATCAAACACGCTAACGATGCCCTATACTTACCGATTCTCTCTCAGCATGCACTGCACTATCTACAGCAAAAGAATTGACATTATTGAGTATAATTAGCAGTTTTATTACCAGCAAACCTGAAAAAATTTCACTTGCTATGGATACCTGGCCACTGCGGGATTTATCCGAATGAGATGGCAGACTCGTTAGCAAAAGCATCTTTAAGCGGACCACTCTTACCTATTTACCTGATTTCGCCTACGTAACAGCTCTCAGATATAGAAATGCTTGTTTGCACAAAGAAGTATAAAAATTATCATTGGATAAAGTCAGAAACTTCGTACACCTAAGATATTGCTGGAACAAACAGTGGTGTGTATCTCGTCAGTTAGAAATTACAATCACCAGATTACGATGCAGAATTCCGCATCTGAATTACTACCTACTTAAAGCTGGACTAACAGCATCTCCGTTGTGTCTCTTTTGCAAGGAATCGGAATCAATAGATCATTTCTTTTTATCCTGTCAACGATATGCTTATCAAAGGAGAAGAGACCTGGTCGAACCAATTGAGAAGCTGAAAATTGCCGCACCAAACGTCGTGACGTCACAGAGTTTGACGGCGTTTACTAGTTCCTAAGTACTTCAGTAAAAATAAAGTACATTGTCCTCTGCGGGGTACACAGACTTAAAACACCAAGGTACAGGAAATTTCTAAGAGCCAATGTCGCTAAAATACGAAACATACACTCCGCAATTCCTGACTTGACGCGTGGAAATTTTGGCGTGAAACTTGAAAATTGAACTTCGACCATCATTTTCTTCTGCATTGATAATAAACCTATTATAGTGAAAGTAACGACATGGGAGTTTTCATATTATTCTTTATCTTTTTAAACTGATTCATTGTTCTATTTTTTGTCCATTTAAGCTTGAGGTAGATTGGTGTCGAGTTAGGTAACTGCGGCGGATATGTGCCACGGATAGCGGTTATGTTCCAAGCAGCTAGCATGGGCTTCGTCATGGGGTGCGAAAGAGGCACCTAATTGCCCCCTTCACAAGCTCGCCAGCACCCATTCCTCCTCAAGCCGCGATGCCAACGAGTTTGCACCCACCAAGGCGAAATCCTGCCGATGCCTATGGCTCCTTCCATAGCATAGCGACACATATTAAATGATTGCAAGAGGGTGTGAAAGAGAAGTGAGGGCAAGGAGCAAGACAAGGAGGCGCGGCCGTTAAGCACTTCTTTACCTACTTTATTCGTAGGTAACCTTATGACTGACCGATTTTATATACCATACAGGATTGAATAATTACTTTTTTCTTCACCAAAACTTGAAATTCCTTTCTGCCTTTGTTCTTGTTCACCTATCCTTCTCTGCCATTTCTTCTTCTTCTTACTTAAGATCATCATCGTCAACATCATCATAATCTATATCTCGTGGAGCGACGCTTGTAGCCGTGAGCGCGAGAACAAGCCGGGTGCTGAGCACGCGATCATCGGCTTCCTCCAGATCCTTCGAAAGCAGCGCCGAGCAGCGAGGAAAGCGACCTCGGTTCAGCACTTTACTTGGCAAGAAACTCAGCTCAGCCCAGGATGCCCTTCGGTGAGTGGCCTTCGTCGCAGCACTCGCAACTGCCCGCTAAAATGGCGCACTCATCTCACTACTCGGCCGCTAACTGCATGCAATCATGATCGCTGGAGCGTACGGCGTGCGCCACTGGGAGACCGCAGCTCTAGACGACAGAAGCTTGAGATTTCTCCAGAGTAATTAATACAATGTAAGTGTAAAAGGAATCGGCTTGAGGAGACCTTGTCTGGTCGGCCATGATAGGTAGTGCTCGCACTAATACGCGTGCGCGTGGAAAGGGGGGGGGGCAATAGTTAGGGCTACGCAGCTTTTGGACTAATGATTTTCAGACTCCAATAATAACCAGGAAAGGGGGGGGGGGAGCGCGCTGCGATGAGACTTTGACCTGATGGCAGATGGCTGTTCATGGGAGTCACTGGCGACTGGTACCAGAAGGCATTCACTGCAAAGGCGCATCCAGTTACTCACCTGAAGTTGGGCGGCTGCAAGTAAAACCGGATAAGGAGGGGGGTCAAAATTTTCATTCTTTAGTAGTTATGATCATCGCAAGAACTCCCTCACAGCTAATCAAAGTGGGCGATTGGGCCAGTTGGTGATTCGTGGTCGGTGTACCTGTTATCTACCGCGCAATATACACCGACCCACCGCAGCATAAATACGGCCAACTTTTCCGACCTATTCGTCGTAATCGGTGATAGAAGTAATCGACTGTTACTGAATGGAGGGGAATGGGTCGCTGACAGACTTCGAGGGGGGGGGGGGGCGATCGTCCCCTGTGCCTCTCTTCTCCCCATATTCAGGATGCGCCTCAGATTCAGTGTTCCCAGCATGCAGGGACCCTCTTGCAACTGGTCCCAACTGGTCCCCTATGCGGGGATTCCGCCATAAAGAATTTGGATTGGTTGTTCGAAGTTGCACCTGGGAATTATGTGCCGCTAACGCAGGCACGTGGGCCACCATGTCTCGCGTGGCAGCGCAGTCCATGCGCGCGGTGCCGCTGCTGTGGTGCCGTCAGCTGTTCGTGATCCTGTGGAAGAACGTGTACCTGAAGCGCATCTGCCGCCACTACCTGCTCACCGTGTTCGAGGTGGCCTTTATGGTGGCCATGCTTCTCGGCATCCAGGAGGACGCGGTCGTCCGGGAGCCTCTGATTCGCCGGGGGGACACATTGTTCGGCCCCATCGGGTACATGGCCTTCTGGAACACGCAGCCCGACTTGGCTCACATCGACACGGTAAGGAGATTGGGATCATGGTGGGACAGTATGGACGAACTCAGTGCTCAGCTGGCAGCATTTTTTTAAGCGGAGCTTGTGTTGACTGACCAATGAAGTGATTGCTGTGTTCTATACCCGCCGCCGCGGGGAAAGAAAGATGTGCTTTCCCAAAAACACTCACTCACTATTGCACAACTGGTGCGCATCCATGAAATAATAAATATATCCAATTCAATCATCTTTCCAATCTGGTGTATGAACCCGGCTTACCCTCTGACCGAAAGCACTTGCCTTGACCATTAGGCTAAATGGCCACGTACTCCTGCTTGCCCAATGAGGAACGAATTGTAGGGTACGAATGTGTTCTACCGACGACAATAAAATAGTTCGGAACCAATAGACTTGTTATAGGTGCTTCATTGAAATAGTTGCGTTGTAGGACTAAAAGCGGTCTATTGCTTAGACATTCGCGGAGAGTTAAGTTTTCAAGAAAAGTCAATTCCGAACCTACGTTTCCTTCATAGCGCGATGATTTTTTCGTTCTACGGGCCAGGTGTCGTACAGGCTGTCGAAAGCTGAAAAGTGCGCGAAAGACGGCATGCCGATACAGTATGCAAATAGCGTTCTGGCCACTACCCATAATAGGGAGTTTTCGAGTATAGGGGCCGCACTCGTTTTGCCCCCCCCCCCCCCCCCCCCAAATTGCGTCGAGGCCATTGCTTTCGCGCCAGACCCAAACAAGGTTTGGATTTTCACGTTGGAGACGCTATTCCTCAAATGCAGCGGGAGCCTCAAAGCCTATATATGTGCCCCAGAAAGCTAGACAAACGTGAATGAAGGCTGCAGCCACTAAAGTGACGGCTCTGGCCCAAGACCGACTGAGCGATCTTGCAAAGATAGAGCGCCGCAGACCCCATTGGAAAACTTTTAGCGCCTGCTAGACCCAAAGCGAGCGCACGCAAAGGGCTTTGGCGCGCCAAACTATTGGGGACCCTATTTCGAAAGTGCATAATAAGACTGACCGCTTACCATTACCTAATGCAACAGAAAGAGAAAAGCTAGAAAAGCATGACGTTAGGCACGCTCACGGCTACTTAGCTCATTTGCTCGTATTTTTTCTAAAGGCGAAGGGCTCGACATTATATTTATTTATTTGTTGAAACCCTCAAGCACATTTGTATGTTGTAGAGGGGAGGTCCGGAAACATAGTCGAAGAGCAAAATAAATACAGGAGTACGTAAAAACCATGAAGATAAAAATAATAGTAAGTATATACATGCAAGGTGAACCACGAAGAAAAATTCGACTTTAGCATCGACAGCAAGGAAGAAAAATTGCAATATGCAATAAGCATCCCATCCTGGCTTGGAGCGTTAAATATTTCGTATTAATATTGACATCTCTATATTGTTACAAAACTGAATAAAACTGAATGCACGCACTATGCGTGATTCGTAACCAAGTCCAATGTATGGGCGTTGGTATACACTATGGATAAGTGAACTTCTGAGCCTGAGAACCATATTTTCATGAGGGCGACACAGCGGACGCCGCACGACAAATGGGGTAAGGGGAAAAAAAGCTTTGCAGACAATGACAAAAAAATATGGCCGATTGGCAATAATGTACAAAACTACAATAAAGATGTCTTTTTTCGTGCACAGTTGCCAGAATGTTTGCAATTTTCAAACGTCGGTTGCCAGCGAAAACCCCATTTAGGCCAATTCTGGCATGCGGGCCTTCAGAGAGTGCCAGAATAAGGAGGGCGGGAGGGGGGGGGGTGCCGTATTGTTTCGGGGGCTGCATAAAACAGCCCTGATGGCCGCATGCGGGCCGCAGGTTGTTGGTCTCTGGTATACGTGATTCTTACGCAACGTGAGCAAGGGCGGAAATAGCAATTTTTTTATAGTAAAAAACATATTCTCAAGTGGCGGATAGCTTTCCCCACGTCTACTCTTAATAAGGTACCGCCTAAAGAGCTGGATACAGCCAGGAAACCGGACATTAGTTCGTCTGGTTTTCTGGATAGCACTCGCATTTATACAGGACTGGATTAAGAGTGATAGCAGACGCTATTGGATGCTTTTTCTTGCGACCACGGGAATTATTAGTCGCCTAAAGTTCGCCCTAGCTTCAAAATACTACGTCTCACATCAACTTAATTGCTGCGGACTTATAAACACGCCGAAATACGTAATGAGGATACAAGAGTGCAAGCTTGGGTAGTTGGTGTGTAGTCTTACGGGCAAGTTAGTTTTTTCTCGGCGCGTGAACATAAGAAAAAGGACAGAGTAGACAGAAAGAGCGCTGATTTCCGAGTGACATTAATTCGCAGAGTGGCAGAATATATATGGCAATCGAGGACCCGTCACACGTGCTTTGACACTGATACATTGATTTGGCATCTTTTATCTTCCTGCTTTTTATCGTCCTTTTCGACACACATATTTTGCCACTCTGCGAAAGATGGTTATGTTGAAATTGCAATGGCAGATCGCGAGCGCTGGGCCGGATTGCGAATGGAGCTTGCAGATCCGAGCGGGATTGCTCTCGCCAGATCTGCGATTGGAACGCGTGCGTGCCCCGCCGCGGTGGTCTAGTGGCTAAGGTAACTCGGCTACTGACCCGCAGGTCGCGGGTTCGTATCCCGGCTGCGGCGGCTGCATTTCCGATGGAGGCGGAAATAAAGGAGGCCGGTGTGCTCAGATTTGGGTGCACGTTAAAGAACCCCAGGTGGTCGAAATTTCCGAAGCCCTCCACTACGGCGTCTCTCATAATCATATGGTGGTTTTGGGACGGTAAACCCCACATATCAATCAATGAACGCGCGCGTCTCGATGGGAGCTCTTGGCGAGCGGAAAATCCAGCGAGGGAGAACGGGAGGGTGCGAGGGAGTGCAAACCGTTTTCCGGACATCCACCGGTGATTGGATGAAAGGCGGGTGCACAGAATACGTCTCTTGAACTTCCGGTAAAATCCGCCGATTTCGCTGAAGCAAGAATTATTGTTCCACGGAGCAATCCGTGATCTGCGGTTGCTCTCAATCTGCCATTGGAAAACACAAATTCACGCTTCCAATCTGCTATTGGAAAGCGATTGCTCCGCGTAGAGCAGAAAAACTTGATCTGGATCTGCCATTGGAATTCAACATACCTTTGAAGTGAGCGCTCTTTCTGTCAGCTCTTCTTTTTTCCTATGTTATCGTGCCGGAAAAAACTTTCCAGTATGACGTAGTGACTACGCATGCGTGCTTAATTATTACAGGATTGATCGATGCCTCCGTGACCCCGTAAGTCACTTGCCATCGCTTTGCTTCTGGTGTGAAATAAAATAAACTCAATGAAAGAAAACCGATGTCAGAGAATATTTGGTCAGGGAGGAAACGCGCTTTAAGGGCATTTTCGCAAAAGTCAAGAAAAAAATTGCATGGACAAGGCACGTAACCAGAAGGCATGATGACAACTCGTCGTTAAAAGTAAACACACTGGATTGCGAGAGAAGACAGACACGCGATAAGGAGGCAGAAAGTTGTGTCGTCATAGAAAATTAAAGGGGCCCTGCATCATTTTTCAGCATGATCAGAAAACGCTGCCGATCGTTATTTGAGGCCCCGGAGAACACGCGAGCCACACAATATCGCTCAGCACGTGTTCCAGAATTTACGATTCTCAAATTAAGCTTGAAATCGATTCCTTCCTCTGTGGACAAATGATGCCGTATACCCGAATCACTGCGCCATATACCGCAAGTCATTCGCTAATTTGAGCATCTTGAGCTGCATATTTGCCGTGGCCGCCGCAGTATGGCGCCTCTTTCACACGCACGCACTCGTGATTACGCTGCACCCAAAAGAAAGTGTGCAAGATTATGATGTGCCCAGACAAAAAAAAGGTGGCATGTTATTGCACCCCTTGCCATTCCCATCTCCAGTGTTCAACGTGCCCTCTGGTACGGAGAAAGAAAGTGCTTAAAGGATGTCACAAATTCCTGTCAATTAAGCTCTTTCAGAGGAGCCATGTAGGACAATTACTTGGGAAAGCGTTGCAGGACCCCTTTAAGAGACTTGCGGGAATTACGTGGCCATAGCAAGCACAGGACCGGGTTCGTTGGAGAAATATTAACAAAGGCCTTTGCCCGGCTGTGGGACGTAGTCAGGATTACGAGGATAATGTTGTTGCTAATTACGATAAACATAACTTCCTCTCACGGTGTTCCTGTCACGGATCATTGTTGATGGAACTCGCTTGACGGATTCCGTGCTGAACGGTCGTGTCGTCCGTGATCCCCGACTCCTGGTCGGCTCGCCGTCCGCGGTCTCCTGACGCCGTGTAGCTCTCGCCGATCGGTGCCCCCGTCCTCGGACTCCTTCGACCATATCTCCCATCTTTCTTATATCTTCTCTTTCTGTCGCTCCTGTGTGGCAAGTGCTCTCTCTGTGCTATCTTTCTACTATTCTTTTTTTATCCCCTGATTTGGGGCACGTTAAATAACCCCAGGCGGTCGAAATATCCGGAGCCCTCCACTACGGCGTCTCTCATAATCATATAGTGGTTTCGGGACGTTAAATCCAACATATCAATCATTATCATTTTATCCCCTTCTCCCATACCATACAAGGAGCTTAGCCGGGTCTCCAGATCAGGCAGACATAAGTTAGCTCCTTTTTCCTCTCCTCAGGAACCAAGCGTTCAGCCATTGTTGGTTCTTTCGCAGGTGTACTTCACGCCCAGTAGCCCCTACTTGTCCAGTCTCACTCGCTCCGCCTTTGCGGAGCTTGGCGTGCACAACGTCATCGCAGTGCCCACCGAGAAGCAGCTACTCGAGCATGTCCGCATCGACGCCAAGAAACCGCCGCCGACTACCAGCTTGAAGTTGCTTTACGTCAACCACGTCGGCATCAACGACACGGCGAAGCCTCCCGTTACCCTGCACGTGACCCTGTTCGCGGGTCGACTTCCTTTCGACTTGCAGGTGTGCATGGTCACTGCTGGGCTGTCGAAGGGGTTTTCATTGTAGCGTCACTAGAACGAGATATGCGCTTATGGGCAGGAAAACTTTTCTTTTATCTAGCTATAAGACGTGATAACAGAAGGAAGAAATACCACGTGGTGCCACTGTCCGTGCTTTTACTTCCGGTTCGCCTTATAGAGCTGTTTTCTACTCGCAAATCACCCGACACGGTAGTTTAATGGTTAAGGAACTTGGCTGCTGACCCACGCGCAGGTCGCGGGATTGAATCCTGTGTGCATTTTTGATGTATGATGAAGTGCTTGAGGGCCGTGTGCTTGGATTTGGGTGCACGTTAAAAAAAATGGGTGGTCAAAATGTTTGGAGCCCTCCACTACGGCGCCTCTCATACTCTCATATATAGTTGTTTTCGGACGTTAAACCCCATCAGTCATCATTCGACTCGTAAATCGTGAAACAACTCACCCAAACGCGCATTATGGATGTTTATTTTACAGCGAAAGGTGCTATGAGATAGTCACAAGGGTGCCGCAGTTGTCTGCCGCCACCAATGTCCGTATACCGGCTACCGCATGAAATTAAAAAAAAAAAAACAGGAATAAACGTAATTTAGAAGTGTTGGTGGTTTAGGCTAGTTGGTAGGACATGACGATTGAGTCATCATTCTAAGCTCGCGCTATAGCGCGAGCTCAGAACGATGACAAAGGGACAACGGGACGAAAAGACGAGTGCTATGTCGGGAAGGAACCGCGTTAACATACGCAGCATAGTGCGGTAGAAGAGTAAAATTACAACCATGCGTCACAGAATGTTAACTATGTAAGCAGACGTCACACACTATTAGAAAGGGCTCAGTCATGACTCTTCGTAATCAGCCACCAAATAAATTATTAGAGTAGTGGGTAGCTTGCAAACGTATTAGAATTTAGTAGACCCAAGAGAGTTTGCGACGGGCTTTGGAAATGGCGCACTTCCATCTTTGCTGTGACTGTGCTGCGCTTTGCTCACAGGCCTGGTGTTTTTTTTTTACCTCTTTCTTTCGAGTTTTTATATGTGATCACAATGTCGCTTCCGGTACCATGCACGTGAAAGATGGACTCTAAAGATTATTCTCCTTTTGAAACAGGACAGTCACTGCTGAAATAAAGTCGTATGTGATGTACCGATACAGCGTATCTGCTTGGGCTGGTTGGTATTGGGTGGCTAGCCCTTTGTAATAGGTGGCACGCTTTAAACTACCATTTCGTTACAAAATTCGTTTTGTGTGACGCCAAGTTGCTATTCTATGCCTCTATCAGGATTGTTCCTCTATTACTCGCGTATGATTCTATTACACGCGTTAGGGGTATTCCTTGCCCGAGATGACGCCTGGATAAGGTCGTTTTGTGAAAGGGTTTTGAGCTCCGGTGTGACTATGTGGTAGAATACTTGACAACCATGCAGAAGACTTGGGTGCTCCTCTCTCTATCTCTATACCTCTAATTCCTTTCTATCCTTTTTTAATCCCCCTTACCCCCACCCCCTGCGCAGAACTGTGGAAGTACCCTCCATTGAGAGAGAGGCAGTAACGGAACTGCCCTTATTTCTTCCTTTTCCTCTTTCAAAAGGCACTTATTCTGAAATACCACTTCGTACTGGATATTATTTCTTATTGTGGCGATAGTGTTTACAGACACAGGTGACGGCGGCGGCAGCCAACTATGCCACCAGATTTGGTTGTTGTCATCTCATAATTACAGCTTTCGTCATAAACCTCGGCAGGATGTCGTCTTGGCGGGTGCAAATCCGAGTTGCATCGCGGCTGGAGGAGGGGGAGAGCGCTTGTGTAGTTTGGGTGAGGGCAAGTGCTGTCGGATGCCTGAGGGAAGCGGTGTCCCTTATACACCACCCTGCCGACGCCCTTGGCTTTCGCGGTAAAATGGCGGGTCCCCATATTTCAGCGAAATGCCGCAATGTGCGACCCATCGCGTCCCCCCGTCTCGTGGTACGCAGGTGCTGTACCCTCAGCGACTCGTGTCCCAGCCGGAAGGACCTGTGGCCGAAGAGCGGTTCCCCGAGATTAACGTTCTGCTGCCGGTGCTGGGGGCGTTGCAGCATCACCACCTTCTGCTCCAGGCGGAGCGCTTCGGCTACGAGTACCAGCTGGGCGATGTGAAGCTGCAGCGGTTTCCCTACCCGGCGTACTACGAGTACAAGGACAACAAAAACTACGCCCTGGTGCTCACCCGCTTCTGCATCGGCATGCTGGTTCCCTTCTCCTTGTTCGTCGCCCTCCTCGTCGACGAGAAGGCGAGTGGTACGTGAGTGAGGGGCCCGGTATTAAAGTCGGGGAGGGGAGTGGCACAGGGGTCCCGAGCCCCTTCCATTTTAAAAAGTCGCTGCCCTGTAGCACTGCTGCACCCATTTTACAATTGTAGCACTGCTGCACCCATTTGACAAGTGCTATTGTTGTTTTTTTTTTGGTGGTAGGCATGTGTACACAAAAATTATGACTCTGATATGTTTACTTGTGTAACATTTTTAATGATTAGGGAGCCTCGTTGTGAACAAGCCTCCTATGTAGGAAGCCGAAACGTCTTTTTAAAAAATTTTTTGTGATTTTTACCTTGTTCGGTGTTTTTGTTTTATTGCACTATGTTTGTACCCGACCAGACGGGATTCCGTCGGACTCTTGACTACGAGGCTTTGTAGCTTTGCTCGTCCGCGCCAACGCCACTCGCCACTCCTCGCAGGTATGAAGGAGATGCATCGCCTGATGGGGCTGAGTGACTGGGTGTACTGGCTGAGCCACTACCTGAGCGGATTCTTCATGCACCTCATCACCGTCACCCTGATGATGCTCTTCGTAAGCGTCAAGCGGAACAACGAGGGCCGCGCCTTCATCCAGTTCAGCGATCCGATGCTGCTGTTCACCATCCTGCTGGGCTTCTGCAGCAACTGCCAGATGCACGCCATATTCCTCTCCATGTTCTTTGGCAGCGGTGAGTGCCCGGGAGTGTGACTCCGTTGTGTCGTCTAGCTGTGGCGCTCCATAATCTTCGCGTGGTCGTAGTCGGTTGCGGCTATAGGCTAGCGGCCGCTGCTCTAGTCACTTAAAAGGGGGACAAAGTCTGCGGCATACATTGACTTTATGGAGGGAAAGAGGCGCTGCAATAAATATGCCCCCCCCCCCCCCTATGATGGGTAAGCCTGCGCACGGTTATAATTACGACCTAAGAAAGAGGTAAGTTCTGCCCGAAGAAACGCGGACCGCCTGCTCTTTATTGTCGGGCACAGCCGTGCTACTTGCTTTCCACTGGAAACGAAACTACCTTTTCTCGGCAGGATCTAATCACAGCAGGATATTAACGGCAGGACCAAATTTAGTAGGATGATCTTCAGCAGGATCTAATCGGGCGTTCTGGTGAGTTGGCAGACGGTGCGGGCATGGCCGTAGGTGAGCTAGACTAGTTTCTATAAATGAGAGCTGCCCCCGAAGGTGTGCCGGTTTCGCGCGTGTGTGTGCCATTCTCCGATAATAATTCATGGTTTCGAGAAAGATATCGAATGCTTGTCGTTGATCAGTCATTTCTGATACTGCAATATGATCTTTCGTTGAGGTTATCAAGGTTAATTATTTTTTGACGCTACCGTACTTCATTGTTGCCTGTATATGAACGCTTGGCAGACATCGTTTCCTGTATCACTCAAGTGTAACTCGCTGCTTGAGGGTCCGATGGACCCTTTCACTGTTCACAAACACAGGCCTTGATGGCATGCGCTTTTTCACACCGCTATGCTTCATTAACATCGGTGGGTAAGAAGAGCGTTAGAAAATAGCCCACTCATTTTCTACACTTTCATTCCCTTATTTGGCGAACCATATTCAAATATCTGATCTTTTGAGCGTCATAAAAGTTGTAAAAGATTCCCCTAAACATTACGCACGTTCTTTTTATCTCAAAAACTAATAGGAGACTTTCCATACTCTTGAAGAAAATGTTAAAACGTCCTTTCAGTTTTGACTTTGGGAGCTGGTAAATGAGGTGACCGGCAGTTTTGTTAGGACAGAACGCTTTTAATCTCAAAACCATCTATTCCCGGCATGGAGGATGGAAGCTGTTAGGAGGTAGCATTGCGCATTACGATATGAAGCCGCGTTGTCCTATTAGCCGTTTTGTGTGTCTCTTATTTACGTTGCGCATCGTAGTCGGCACAGACTGTGTTTTCAACACGAACGTGTTTTATTCAAGTATCCACCACGCCTCCGTTGACGTACTTCCGTTACAGGTATGACGTTGTAAAATATACTAATAGATTGCAAAGAAAAAGAGTAGATGAGGCAATGCCGCGGGACGTCGAATCAGCGACCTCTCATTCCGCAGCGCGTGGCTCAAATAACTAGGCCACGAAGCATACGTTGTTGAGCATGCTAACGACATGCCATTTATATACATCATTTACTGCTTGGCGATTCTCAGAGCTGCGTCTCTTCAGCGTGTTTTTGTCATCAGTAACGAGATGGCGCTAGAAGGTCTTGCGTTGGGCGGTCGTCGCTTCTAGCCTCTAGCGTTTCAATGAGCGCTGCCTCCACGGAGCGTAGGTCTCTCCGGCGCGTGCTTATCAGTCTCGTGATTCGGGAGAGCATGAAGTTCACTTCGCTCGCTGCCACGGCCGCGTTTAGGAAAGGAGTACGCTACGAGCACACAAAGTAAAAATTGTAAAAGTTTTTCGTACTTGTCCTGTTCATAGTTTTGCGTTCGGTTCGCGCGTCTTTCTGTCTGTTTAATAGCGCGCTTTAAGTGTCGAGCTGTGACAGTTGTTAGCCCTCGCATGGCCTGTGTATGCTCGTTTCGTGTTTTTTGTTTGAGATGCACGCTGCAAGTTTCGAGCTTTTTGTAATTGTTAGCATGACTTCGTAATTTGTTGCTCTAGCATTCATTTCTTCGCCATTGTGGGGAAGCAAAGCACAATAAACGCTCAACTATCTCTGTGAAAATGCGCTTTACTTTCGTGTTCTACCAATTCCTAGAAAAAGCCATCAACCACGTTTTATTTTTTTTTCGATCTCCCACAATGCTCGATCCGTGCGTTGCAGCCCAGTACGCCGTGGCGGGTGCCATGATCTATTGGACCTTCAGCTGCGTGATGCCCTTCCTGACGCTGGAGCAAGCCGACGGCGAGGGCTACTACTACATACAGCGTGATCACAAGCTGTGGACTTGCATCTTTCCCGGCATGAGCCTCCACTGGAGTTTCAGAGTCCTGGAACGGTTCGAGAAGTTCGGTACGAGCTGTTCGAGTATAGTTACATTTGGAACGCACGCCTAACGCACACTTCTTCAGCGTTCGCTTGAGGAAGCATGCGTTGTCGTTCATTGACGTGAAGATTGGCTGAGACCGTTTCAGTTTCCAGAATTCTTCGAACCCAGCCCGGCAGATACCTGTCAAAAATGTCTGCGTCAAAATTGGCATGAACGGCATGAGGGTGGATCCAGCAACGAACGGGTCTTAAGAACATCATATCAGAAATAAAGAAGAAATAGACATAGGTAGGTACGTGGGAGGCCAGAAAACCACTGGTCAATAAGGGTAACTGAATTCCAGGAGAAGGCAAACTCGCGAGGGAGAGACAGAAACTTAGTTGGACAGCAAGGTGATACTAAGATGCTTGCGGGAATGACGCAGCCGCAGCGAAAACAGTATGGGTAACTGTAGAAACATGTACAGGCCTGTGTTCTGCAGGGGGTGCAATCAGGCTGCTGATGATGATAAACAACGCTATGACGATTGACAGGCCTATGGATTGCAAGTCGGTCATGCGCCATGTATCTTTGAATTCAGACGTGTAACTTGTACGCATGGCAGGTAGAATGTGTCTGTTCGTCTTTTCGCATTTAGAACTTAAGGCCCGATTACACGTACCCGTTTGCAGCGTGTCGGCGCGTGACGCTTGCATGGCATGCAACTGCACGCCTGCATGGCGTGAAATTGTGTGACATGCTTGCATGGCATCTGGAGGGAAGCTGTGCGCGCAGATACAAGGCAGTGCGCAATAGCCCGAAACAAACAGTGCGACATCCTTGCAAGCATTTCGAGCTTGATGTCACGGCGCTTGATTAGTGGCAACGTTGAAAAGAAAAATGCGGTTCTGGCACTCTCTGGGAGCGACCAACAGTAAATATACTCTTAATTTTTTGGAATCAATATATTAAAGACATTAAAGGATAGAGGAAAAACTGCTGCTCGAAATTGTCTCTATATACATGGATGGTTGGCAAGACAAAGGTTAGAAAATGCCATCGTCAAGCATTTATTCTTTCTAATTTAATCATGATTGATCCATATACATTTGTGTTTCACTACGCTGGTATACATAGCTGCGTTTTTATTGCTTTTCTTGGTGTTGATAACAGTATTAGCTCAGAATTGTCTTATTCCAGCAACATGTATTCTTTAATGAACAATCTGCATACAACTATCTCGAAATGAACAATTCATGTACAACTTTATTTAAATGGATCTATGTACAACTATTCCAATGTATATGTATGTATATAGTAAACATATGTTCTAAACGTATAGATCATTCTGAGCATAATGTATATATATGCATTTGATATGTCAAACCAACGATGTACTTTGTGCCCAATGAAACATATGTCCTGTCAGTTGATGCAGGTTGTATCATTCGTTTAGGAGGTCAACACCCCACCATGGTTTACAGCCCCTTGTATTGGCCTTCCGCAGGGACATTTCGCAATCTTCCTGCAAAACAGTGCTCGCTGTTCCAATCGCTGTAACACATGGTGGGGTGTTGGGATGCTTCGTAGGCGTTCCACTTGCATTGAAAGCAAACACACTTCTTACGCGTTCGCGGCCTTCTCTCACGGCGCAGTCCCTGACGGTGCGAACTGGCGCAACTTCTACGACCGCGCTGCCACTCCCGACAACATAACGCTGGCCGAGATCCTCTTCGTGGGCTTCCTCTGCGACTTCACCATAGTATTCCTGGTGTGGTACCTGGACAACGTGTTGCCTGTCGGCCCGGGGATCACCAAGCCGTACTGGTTCCCGTTCAAAGTGAGGGGCTTGTTTAGAAAAAAAAAATGGTTACCGACTTAGAGTACATGGTACTCTACTATATATGGGGAAGCTGAAAGCCGTCCGATGGGCCTGACACGTTATAGCGACACCACAATGTCCCGCAAGTGTGTTTAGAAAAAGTGGGTAACAATTTAGAGTACTAGGTCCTCTAATAGCCTTACCGCTAGCCCCATTTGACAGATACCTACAGTGCAATCATACTCTGCTATGGGAGGGCATAGAGCCGTCCCGTGTGGCCTCACATTTAGTGAGGCCCTGTTAATAAAAAATTACGCCGTGAACGAGTTCACACATCCAAAAAATCCACGCATATCGCGCCTTACTGGAAGGAAAGCTGGCTGTAGATTTCAGAGGCGGCGCTGTACGTGAAAAACTCGGCGCGGGCGATAGAAATGCGGATGTCCAAGGTGCGATGGTGACGTGCGTGTTTGCATGCACCTTTTTTCAATAGCAGATGCTCTCGGCACTGTGGGCTGGTCGGTGATCGGCCGTTTCTGATAGGGCAGTCTTTATTTTTTACTTTGGTAACTTGTCAATTCCCGTTGCCACGTGTCATGGTTGTCTGGATACGAAGACTTTACTGCCATTGCTGCCTGTAAGAAATGAAACGTTGCGGGGCTAAGTGCGTCGATGAAAGTCCAATTCCTGGCATGAAGAAAGGAAAATGTTTGAAAATAGTGCGATGTGAAATAAAGAAAAAAGAAATAAAATAACGAAAAAAGAGAAGTGAAACAAAAGAAGGAAAGAAAGGAAGAGAAAAGAAAGAAGTACGTCAGGCACACACTCGCCACGCTTCGCCTGCCACCCCCCTCCCCCCATTGTTTCAAAAAGGAAAGGATTCCTGAGCTAGGTGGCTTGTGAAAAAATATTCTCATCACACCAGAAGGCAGCTGATTGGCAGAACTTTTTGAGTCGCTCCTTATTTCCGGGAACTTCGTTGCCAAAATTAGATGCTGATATTCTAATCACGTACCGTGGATGAGTCCTGAAGCCGGCATATTATTATCAGTGAACGAAGTAAGCAAACAATTTTTGGTAAGTTTGTTTGAATGTACTGACGAGGATACATTAATAGGGGTGCTGTTTGGACTTGGGACATTAACCCTGCTCTTTTCTCCATAATGTACAGTGCTCACACATTAAACTGGGCCTTCAGATCTTTTGTTATCACATGCACGAGAATTTTTTTGCTAGCTTTCAACTCAGTATGGTATTCGAATGTTTTTTTTTTACTGATATACGCAACTGCTCGAGATGACAAGGTTATGTCGCTACGAACATGGCTGCAAAATTTAACCTCGGTTGTGACGTTAGCATTCGAGTAAAAAAAAACGCACGCTGATATGAGAGACACTAACTGAAGGCGGTCGAAACAAAAGTAAGTGGCGTGTACTACATATAACTTCCTAAAAATGTCGCGTTTATATCATTCAGTGCTGCGTACTTTTCCGCTAGCGCCCCCAGCGGCACGACCCGATTGTGACGGCGCAATACTCAAGGACAGTGCACACGAAGTTTATTTATTTATTTACAAATAAATTGTAGGCATCGCAAAGACATTTGGTAAGGGGCGTTAATACGCCGTAAGAAAAATTTAGAATGTCATCAAAAAGAATGTTGCTACTCAAAAGTAGGAACAATGTAGAATAACATAAACACAAAGAATGGCAAGTGTAGCAAAAACGTCTCTAGTACTAGGCTAATCTATTTTTTTATTCCAATAATTTCTAGCCAAAGTATTTATTTATTCTGATCACACCATTTTTAGTACAACAAAACCTAAAAACAGCGGTATCATTTTGCCGTTGAAACAAAACGAGTTAGTCAATTATGCTCGGTCGTGTGTTGTGTTTTCACTGTATGCAGATGAAGTACTGGATTCCGAGCGTCTCGTTCGTTGAGGCCCCACCAAAGACCGCCAGAGAAATGCAAAACTTTGAGGACGAGCCCAGGGAGCACGCACCGGCCATCGAGGTTCTCAATCTGAGCAAGGTACGACCTCTTCTCCGCAGAATGTGTACTGTAGTGGTGCAGATGCACCAACGCGTATTCGCCTGTGGAAGGAGAGGAGAGTGACCGGTGTTGCGATTGAGTGAGAGCGGGCTCTGCTGTGCTTGGCCACGTGGTCATTCTTCATCAGTATACAACCTCGCCTCGTCAACTAACTCCACCAATCAATCTATTAAAGGGACCACTAAAAACGGATTTTTCTCCTGTTAGTGAATTACTCTTTCACAGTACCAAAATCTGCAGGCTCTCTGTGAGAAGATGGTTGCCTAGCGAGGAAACGTGCGAGGAGAAATTCTGTTGGTAACGTCACTAAAGTTCCCACCTCAAACGCCATGACGTCACAAGTTCGATAGTGTCAGTAGAACTCACACCGTTTCTAATACGAGGTAAAATGATGTACGTTGTCATTTGAGCAGGCCATAACCTCAACATACCAAGTTTCAGAAGCCGTCTGAAAAAAAAAAATTGGCGCTAATTTAAACACGGAAAAAGAAACGTCACATGAGGGCGGACACTGGCTGAGCCGTCCGTGTGTGGTGATATTTTTTTTGCGTGTTTGAATGAGCGCTGTGTTTCTTCTTAAGGAACCGTACTAACAAGCTCGCATACATTCACTTCTCAGTTTCAGGACAGCTCGTTGCGCAAATCCAGCCAACATACAAAAAAAAAATGCACTATGAAATTTGTGAAATCACGCGCGGGGAATTCCGACGCGAAATTTAGAACTGAGACTTGGACCTTAAATTCAACCTGTTATGTTATAGCTACGATCGTGAAATTAACTACATAGGTTTCGAGATTAACATTCACCAATCTAAATCAAATTATTCTTAATTTTATTGTCCCTTCAAGGCGAAAGCATTAGGCGCTTCATCAAACACGACAACTGACCGTTGGTGTCATCATAGGCTTGTGCAAGGGGGGGGGGACAGGGGGGGCGCAAAGTCTGCTCTATACATTGACTCAGTTGAGTGAGGGGGGTGGTGCTGCGAAGAGCCTCGCCCTCCTGAAGGGGGAATCCTGCGCACGCTTATGGGTGGCATCAGCGTCAGCACGACGAGATGCACGAGAAATCTTGGCACGACTCCGGTTGACTTAATTATGATGTAACAAGTTGCTGAAATCAGTGAAATCATTATGACATCATCATGGCCTCATGCTATGACGACAGCAGTCGCTCGGTCAAATGTGCACCGATCTCGGAAGCAGTGCTTCAAACCTCAGGAAGTGCATTCGCGATAGTACGAGTGCGCAGTTACGCTGAATCGCTCATTTTGGGTCGCGTGGTCGTTTACTGGCCCTTTAAAACGGCAACAAGCAGCACTACACCCGGGTACAAATCCCTAGCAGTGCAGATTTTTGCCGTCAAAATTCCCGCGGATTTTCAGGGCTGTTCTGTGCATGGTGAAACAATAAATCGCAAGGCAAGCTATTGTAAGTTTGGGCAGTCAGTCAGTTAGCCAACGAACTTTATTCACAAATCGTGCTGAGGAGTCGACACTCCTCAAGAGAGTGTGAGCAGTGTTTTCCATTTGTTTTTGTTTTTGTGGCGGTGAGCATCATTTATTACGGCACTCTCCCCGCCCTTCTTTGATTGTTGTCGAGCCCGAAATAAAGCCATCACCGCAAGGAATGAAACAAATGAAATGTCGCAATGCCGTTCGCAATGGCCTGCGATCGGTTCCCTACTCCCTGCGAGCACTGGTGTGTTAAGTAGCCATTAGACCGCGATTCAGGGGGCGTCAACTGAATTGGCCCCTCGTTTTTAGATGGTAAGGGATGGGGAGCGAGTGCCGTATCCTCTCCCTCTGCTCGCTTGCCTATGTGAGCTACCCATTATTCTTCAGTATGATGAACACACCGATGCTCAATGTATTGCATCGGCGTATCGTCGCCGCACCTGGGCTACAGTTTACGCTCGAATAGACGAAGTTCGCATTTCTCATTGAGCGTCCACACCAGCCCAAACACGTTCACCGGGCTGTGTATTCCAAGAAGCGTCCGCCGTCGAAGGTTGTAATGGTGGCTGTCCGATCGTCTGTTGATTCTTGATACGGAGACGCGCAAGTTGTCGGCTTCTTCGGGCGCGTTGAAGGTACTCGCTCACATCGTGGTTTTTTCTTCGTCGGTGACGTTGGGTAACATGGCATCGAGCGTCGTTGCCGGCTCCTTCCGTAAACCAATTTGTATGGAGATATCTGCGTCGTCTCCTGCACCGCCGTGTTGTATGCGAAGGTCACATACGGAAGAATGTCGTCCCACGTTTTGCGTTCGACATCGACGTACATTGACAGCATGTCAGCGATCGTCTTGTTAAGCCGCTCGGTGAGGCCGTTGGTCTGTGGGTGGTACGCTGTAGTCCGGCGGTGGTTTGTTTGGCTGTATGGCAAGATCGCTTGAGTTAAGTCGGCAGTGAATGCCGTTTTTATGTCGGTGATAAGGACCTCCGGGGCGCCGTGACGTAGGACGATATTTTCGACGAAGAACTTTGCTACCTCGGATGCACTGCCTTTTGGCAGGGCTTTTGTCTCGGCGTAGCGGGTGAGGTAGTCGGTAGCTACCACGATCCACTTGTTTCCGAAAGCCGACGTCGGGAACGGCCCCAGTAGGTCCATACCAATCTGCTGGAAAGGTTGGCAAGGTGGATCAATTGGCTGCAGAAGTCCCGCTGGCCTTGTCGGCGGTGTCTTGCGTCGCTGACAGTCCCGGCATGTCCTCACATAACGAGTGACGTCGGCGGTAAGACGTGGCCAGAAGTACCTTTCTTGTATCCTCGCGAGCGTGCGAGAAACACCGAGGTGCCCTGCCGTCGGATCGTCGTGCAGGGCCTGCAGGAGTTCTGGTCGCAGAGCTGAAGGCACCACAAGGAGGTACTTAGCTCGAAGCGGTGAAAAGTTTTTCTTTTGTAGAAGACCGTTTCGTAGAAAGAACGACGCAAGTGCGCGCTTGAATACCTTCGGGACTTCAGCGGTCCTGCCTTCGAGGTATTCTATTAGGGCCTTAAGTTCCGGGTCGGCCCGCTGTCGTTCGGCGAAGTCGTCGGTAGTTATCGTTCCCAAGAAGTACTCGTCATCCGGGTCGTCGGGTGGCGGTTGGCCGACAGGCGCACGAGAGAGACAGTCGGTGTCGGAGTGTTTTTTGCCGGACTTGTGACAGTAATGTCATACTCTTGAAGTCTCAAGCTCCATCGTGCGAGGCGACCTGAAGGGTCCTTCAAGGTGGCTAGCCAACACAAGGCGTGGTGGTCGCTCACAACTTTGAAGGGCCTGCCGTAGAGGTAGGGGCGAAATTTCGACGTAGCCCAGATGATGGCGAGGCACTCAATTTCTGTTGTGGAATAATTTGCTTCTGCTTTGTATAGCGATCGGCTGGCGTAACTAACTAATAACCTTTTCAAGTCCGTGAGCCCTCTGCACAAGAACGGCGCCGAGACCTACGCTGCTAGCGTCAGTATGTATTTCTGTCTCGGCGAATTCGTCGAAATGGGCAAGTAACGGAGGCGTCTGGAGGCAATGTTTAGGCTCCTGGAAAGCGTGTTCCTGTGGCGTTTCCCACTTGAACTCCACGTCGGCCTTGGTAAGGTTAGTGAGAGGATGGGCGATGCGGGCGAAGTTTTTTACGAACCGCCTATAATAGGCGCACAGGCCCAGAAATCGGCGCACGGCCTTCTTGTCAGTGGGCGGCGGGAAGTCGGCGATGGCGGCTGTTTTCCGTGGATCGGGACGAACTCCAAACTTGATGATAACGTGTCCCAGAAACAAGAGCTCCTCATACGCAAATCCGCACTTTTCTGGCTTCAGTGTGAGTCCGGACGTCTTGATCGCTTGAAGTACAGCTTCAAGGCGCCGAAGATGCTCGTCGAAACTCGAGAAAAACACGACGACGTCGTCCAAGTACAGAAGACAAGTCTGCCACTTCAATCCTTCCAGTACTGTATCCATAACGTGTCGAAAAGTTGCAGGCGCTGAGCAAAGGCCGAAGGGCATCACCTTAAACTCGAAGAGGCCGTCCGGTGTTATAAACGCCGTCTTCTCTCGGTCTCTTTCGTCGACTTCGATTTGCTGATAGCCAGTCTTGAGGTCCATTGACGAAAAGTACTTGGCGTTATGGAGCCGATCAAGTGCGTCGTCTATTCGTGGGAGAGGATACACATCCTTTCTTGTGATTTTGTTCAGGCGGCGATAATCGACCCAGAAACGTAGGGTCCCATCCTTTTTCTTCACTAACACCACGGGGGATGCCCATGGACTCTTGGACGGCTGGATAATGTCATCCCGCAGCATTTCATCAACTTGTCTCTTCATGGCCTTACGTTCTCGCGTCGAAACCCTGTACGGACTCTGACGGAGTGGTCTGGCATTTTCTTCGGTTATGATGCGATGTTTCGTGATTGGGGTCTGCCGAATTTTCGGTGACGACGAAAAGCAATCTTCGTATTGCAAGAGCAGGGCCTTGAGCTGTTCTTGCTTATCGTTCGGAAGTCTTGGATTAACATCGAAAGCTATGGGAGGGGCTTGGTTCCTCTGAGGAGCTTCCGCAGAATCGGCGAGGGCGAAAGCACTGGTGGCTTTGACAATTTCTTCGATGTATGCGACCGTTGTTCCTTTGTTCACATGTTTGTACTCATTGCTCAAAATTCGTGAGCTTAACCGTTGCTTTGCCTCCCCGCAGCTCTGCGATTCCTCTTGCGACGCAAATATTTCGGGTGACCAACAGATGCTGACTGCCTTCAACGACGCCTTCCAAGTCAGGTGATTTAGGAGCGCCGACTGAAATAATGACGCTTGAGCGAGGCGGAATGGTGACTTGTTCTTCCAGCACATTCAAGGCATGGTGTCCTGACGGCGTGCACGGTGGTAGTGTTTCTTCTGTGGATAACGTTATCAACTTTGTTTTTAGGTTGATGACAGCACCATGGGGGCATAAGAAGTCCATGCCAAGGATGACATCTCTCGAGCAACGCTGTAGGACTACGAAGTCTGTAGGATAAATACGGCCGTTAATGGTGACTCTTGCTTTGCAGATTCCTGCAGGCGTTACGAGATGACCTCCGGCTGTGCGGATTTCAGGGCCTTTCTAAGCTGTCCTAACTTTCTTTAACTTCGCGGCGAATGACTCACTGATGACAGAATAGTCGGCTCCAGTATCGACGAGAGCGGTCACACTGTGGCCGTCGATAAGAACGTCGATGTCGCTAGTTCGCCGTCTCGCATTACAGTTAGGGCGTGGCGTCAGGTCACGGCTGCGTCGGCTTGTTCCGCTGCTTCCATGTTGCGTCGTCAGGCCACCTCCGGTAAGTGAGCTTTCGCCGCCAGGGCTTTGCCTGGTTGGCATTGTGTTCGGAAAGCTCCGTCACGGCGTCGTCGTCGTCGGAGGATCTTCGGTAGTTCGTCGCACAGCAAGCGCACCTCCACCGGTTGCTGCCCTTAGTTTCCCTGAAACGGGCTAGGAGACCGGCCCCGCGTTGGGCCAGAGTACTGCCGGAGGTGCGGTGACATGCGGCGGCTGGGCAACGGCGAACGGGAAGGACTTCGTGGTGTCCATTGAGTTCCTGCCAGGTAGTCGGCGATGTCACGTGGCCGATCTCCTGGCTGCGGACGCGGTGCATTGACGGCGAAGCCACGCAGTCCCATCATTCGGTACTGGCAACGGCGGTATGTGTGCCCGGCCTCGCCGCAGTGGTAGCAGAGCAGGCGGTTGTCAGGTGCACGCCAAACGTCCGTTTTCCTCGGTGCACATCGCTGGCCCGCTGGGGAACGGTAGGACGTCGGTGGGGGAGGTGGCGGCGGTGGCGTCTGGCGACGGAAGTGCGACGGGGCGGCGTTTTGGCGTGGACGGGGAGGAGCGTTGTGGCGCACTGCAGTGGCGTAGCTCATAGTTTCTAGCTCGGGCAGCGGTGTTTGGGGAATTCGAAGCAATTGCCGGACTTCTCGCAAAATGTCGGCGATCGAATCCACTTGAGGCTGCGCCGAAGGCAACAGTTTGCGCAACTCTTCCCGCACGATCGCTCGGATCGTTTCACGCAGGTCGTCGGAGTCAGTGGCTTGAGCAGCAGCGCATTCTGGAGTCAGGCGACGATTATACTGTCTGGTGCGAATGTCCAGGGTCTTTTCGATGGTGGTCGCCTCGGATACAAATTCTTGGACAGTGTTCGGTGGATTCCTCATTAGTCCCGCGAAGAGCTCCTGTTTGACCCCTCGCATGAGGAAACGAACTTTCTTTTCCTCAGGCATGTCTGGGTCAGCGTGACGGAAAAGGCGGGTCATCTCCTCTGTGAAAATTCGAACCTTTTCATTTGGTAGCTGAACCCGGGTCTCGAGTAGAGCAGCGGCCCTCTCTTTGCGAGCGACGCTCGCGAACGTTTGCAGAAATGCGCCGCAGAAGACATCCCACGTTCGGAGCGTGGACTCCCGATTCTCTAGCCAGGTCCTTGCGGTGTCTTCCAGGTAGCAGTACACACGACGGAGCTTTTCTTCGTTGTCCCAGTGGTTGAGGGCGGCCACACGGTCATATGTTTCCGGCCAGGTTTCCGGGTCTTCAATAGATGAGCCATGGAACGTTGGTGGTTCCCTGGGTTGATGAATGACGATCGCGGGCTGGGACGCTCCGGTTGTCATTGTCGCTGCAGTCGAGGTCTTGGTCTTGTGCGCCTTGTCTTGTAGAAGGCCGTACTCCGGTGGGAGACCTTGCTGTCGGCGGCTTGTTCGCTGCTCTTGGTTGGCGTCGGTGTCTTCTCCACGACGGGGGCTGCGTTCATGGCTTGACGGGGGCGTCTGGTACATGAACGAAGCAGCACCTTCACCAGATGTCACGGGGTCGTGACGTGGTCGAAGACAGGAAACTTCGTGTTGGGATTTAACTGTTTATTTGGGCGAACCTGTGCCCGGTAAAGGGAAAGTCTAATTACAGCAGCAGTCTTGCACAGATAGCAGTCTCGGACTGATAGCAACGAACGCAGCGTCGGCCTTCGATCAACAACTGACAAGCGGCGAAGTGCGTCGGCATTTATACTCTTGCTGTCGAATGTTGTAGCGTTATCGCTGGTGGTGGCGTAGGTTCCAGAACAATCTGTACCGTTCGCACAGTGGGCGTGATCTTATCGAAATGATCTACTACAGTCCGGAACCTTCTCGAAAACTGCAGGCGCGGTTTGCGCTGAGAATCATGTGGTGTTTTGGGACGATAACAAAAATTTGGGAAATGGAACGTGGCAATAGTGTCAGTAGAACTCACACCATTTCCAATATGAGGTAAAATGATGTATGCTGTTATTTGAGTGGGCCGTAACCTCAATAGACCAAGTTTCAGAAGCCGTCTGAAAAAAAAAATCGGCGCTAATTTAAACATGGAAAAAGAAACATCCCGTGAGGGCGGACACTGGCTGAGCCGTCCGTGTGTGGCGATTTTTTTTTTGCGTGTTTGAATTAGCCCTGTGTTTCTTCTTAAGGAACCGTACTAACAAGCTCGCATCCATTCACTTCTCAGGTTGAGGACAGCTCGTTGCGCAAATCTAGCCAAAATAATAAAAAAATGCACTATGAAATCTGTGAAATCACGCGCGGGGAATTCCGACGCGAAATTTAGAACTGAGACTTCGACCTTAAATTCAACCTGTTATGTTATAGCTACGATCGTGAAATAACTACATAAGTTTCGAGATTAACATTCACCAATCTAAACCAAATTATTCTTAACTTCATTGTCCCTTCAAGGCGAAAGCATTAGGCGCTTCATCAAACACGACAACTGACCGTTGGTGGCATCATAGGCTTGTGCAAGGGGGGGGGGGCAGGGGGGCGCAAAGTCTGCTCTATACATTGACTCAGTTGGGAGAGGGGGGTGGTACTGCGAAGAGCTTCGCCCTCCTGAAGGGGGAATCCTGCGCACGCTTATGGTGGCATCAGCGTCAGCACGACGAGATGCACAAAAAATCATGCCACGACACCGGTTGACTTAATTATGATGTAACAAGTTGCTGAAATCAGTGAAAGTCATTATGACATCATCATGGCGTCATGCCATGACGACAGCAGTCGCTCGCTCAAATGTGCACCGATCTCGGGAGCAGTGCTGCAAAACCTCGGGAAGTGCATTCGCAATAGTACGAGTGTGCAGTTACGCTTAATCGCTCACTTTTGGGTCGCGCGGTCGTTTACTGGCCCTTCAAAACGGCAACAAGTAGCACTACACCGGGTACAAATCACTAGAAGTGTGGATTTTCGCTGTCAAAAAGCCCGCGGATTTGCAGGGTTGTTCTGTGCATGGTGAAAAATAAATCGCAAGGCAAGCTATTGTAAGTGTGGGCAGTCAGTCAGTCAGCCAACGAACTTTATTCACATATTGTCCTGAGGAGCCGGTACCCCTCAAGAGAGTGTGAGCAGTGTTTGCCATTTGTTTTTTGTGGCTGTAGGGAGGTGGCAGTGAGCATCTTTTATTACAGCACCCTTCCCGCCCTTCTTTGATCGTTGTCGAGCCCGAAATGAAACAATCACCGCAAGGAATTGAACAAAGAAAATGTCGCAATGCTGTTCGCAATGATCTGAGATTGGTTCCCTACTCCATGCGAGTACCTGGTGTGTTAAATAGTCATTAGACCGCAATTCGGGGAGGGGGCGTCAACGAAATTGGCCCCTCGTTATTAGATGATTAGGATGGGGAGGCAATTGACGTACCACTTCCCCTGCACCCCCTCTCCCTCTGCTCGCTCTCCTATGTGAGCTACCTATTATTCTTCAGTATGATAAACACACCGATGCTCAATGTATTGTATCGGCGTGTCGTCGCCGCACCTGGGCTACAGCTTACGCTCTAATAGACGAAGTTCGCATTTCTCATTGAGTTCGTTAGCCTCACGATATATGCCCTTTGCGCATTGCTTCCGTGTGGGGGCCGCAGGACTACGACGGCGTGGTGGCCGTCCAGGATGTCAACTTTCGCGTTTTCGAGAACCAGATCACCGTGCTTCTCGGCCACAACGGCGCCGGGAAAACGACGCTCCTCAGCATGATTACAGGTGAGGCATTCTCAAGTCATGGTACACCGAGCGGTCCCAGTTGCTTGAACGTGCGTACATGCGGTTGTCATGGAATTTCGCACTGCATCAGGTGCTGTTGTATTTGGGGATGGCAATCGCTTATTGATCTCTGGATAGTGTTCAAGAGGAAATTGACCACATTGTCACGTGGTCGTGACGTTGACGATGGCGGCAGTCTGTATGTCCCAGATGAAATTATTTATTTGGGCCTTACTTGTGGCCTGTGTATGTGACGTCGGATTACAGCAGTGCGCACTAGCACTGATAACGCCGTCGGCTTTCGATCAACTGACATGCGGCAATGCACAGCATTTATACATGCGGCATGCATTCGAGCATTATCACTGGTGGCCGCGTTCGTTTGACAATGAACTAGTCTGTTCGCGTTTGTGAGCTCAAGCATAACACGTTCTGCTAAAGCTATCTGGAATGCTCTCAGACATTCCGGCGTGGTTTGCGTAAGGCATTTATTACCCTTGAAACAGGCTGGTGACGTAAAACACAGAAAGGGGCTCGCGTGGCAATATACAAATTCTTTGTTAACTTCATGTATTCGAGCAGAGCGTATAGTATTATCAACCCCGGGTGAACATTATACTTCCGTGTGAGAGAGCTCTTACATGATTCCTTCGAACAATAGGTGATTACTGGTGAAAGTCGCAATCGAAAAGCAACGTTCTTTACAACTCGTGGCGATGGCATGCACTCTGGTAGACGATAAGCGGAGAACTGTAGCACAAGGCACAGAGGTGACAACCAAGTTTTGACGAAATGCGCAGGGATTCTCGAGAAAAGGGTTCCGAAATTCCCTTTAAATTTCGCGCGTATGCTCCCTTTAATGTTCTCGAATTGAGCAGCATGCGTGTCTTCGCGCGTATGTGCCGATGGCGAGGACAGAGGACAAGGACGAAGAAGACGTAGCATTGGATGCATAGCCAAGAAGGGATTACGGGGGCTAGGAATCCAACGAAGTCTATGCAACAGTCGATCGGGGATGCTGGAGAGGTTCACTAACTACGATATACAAAATGTACCTACACCCCGTTTTAGAATTTGGATGTGTTTCATATTCGGGTGCTCCAGCTTATAAACTGCGTGTACTGGTAATCCTGGAAAGAGAGGCTCTAAGGTTATGTCTTGGATTACCAAAATTCGTCGCCAATAATGTCCTGTGCTTAGAGGCAAGTTTGCCCTCTCTTTTGTGCCGATTTAGAATACTAACGGTACAAACATTTTTGAAGCTTTGCGAGTGCCCTATAAAACTAAATATTATTTTTATGCACCAGCCAGCGTTATTTTTTTTTCATGTTATTGGCCTAGGTTTCAGATTCCACCGGAGGGATACGTACAATCACTCGTTGGTCCATTAGATGTTAAACTGTGTGAAATCCCTTCTATTACCAATGCAAGGCACAATCTCGAAATCATTTTTGACGATATATATCCAAATCATGCAAAACATTTGTCGACAGATCTAATAAATGGCCTTCTGCAACAGCATTTAGAAGACATAAATATAATAAATATCATAGGTACAGATGCCTCGCAATCTGAAGAGAAATCTGGCATTGGCATTTTCTCTGAAACCTTCAACTGGTCCTTTTCACTAAGACTACCCTATTTCTTGTCAGTATTTGGCAGAACTTATGGCGGTGAATATGGAATTAAGAAAGCTCAGCCCGTCAGCCTCAAGTGTGGCCATAGTTACCGATTCGTTACCTTTGTGTTAGGCACTCGCCTCCAATAGTGACTCGTATGTATCATGCACGTTTCATTTTCTGGTCTCAACTCATATATCTTTAATCCAATTGATCTGGGTTCCCACATTGGCACTCATAATACGTACGGGACAGATTTTGAAGGCGTGCCATAATTGAAGGCTCTGGTAAAACATTAATCACTCACCAAAACGAATATCGACGCCTTTTGTTCCCTTGACGTAGGAAGTTCTGGTCAACACGCGAAGAAGTTATTTTTGCGAAATTACGCTGTAGAGTGCCAAAACTACATTACTATATGCGTAGAGCTGGTCTGGCTCCTTCCCCTTTTTGCTCATTCTGTAACAAGGACGAAACAATCGACCATTATTTTTTATCGTGTACTCGCTTCAAGTCACCGAGGAGAAATATTCCTAAAGCTGCTTTTAATTGGATTAGATTGGATCTCATTATTTCTAATATTTCTCCTTGGGAGCCTCCACATTAGGTCATTGTCACCGGGATATCTGTACTGCCGTACAAAGATTCTTAGTCGAATCAAGGAGGTTTTGACTGCAAACGTCTAAATTAGTAAAATTTGAATTCTTCTAAATTTTTAAAATTTATTGGATTTAAAAGTAATATGCCATCCACTATCTAAATAATCGTTTCTTGGCCAATCCCCCAGAGTGGGTGTGAGCCATTCGTTTAGATCATCATCATCATCATCATCATCATCATCATTATCATCATCATCATCATTTCTTAGATCGATGAAGTGTATTTGTCTGTGATTGTCCACGTGCTTGTCTATTGCGCCTCGTCACACTATTTTGCGCCACATCTTTCGTTTCGCCACACATTAGTCAGCCAGTGCTGAGAAGTATAAATGTGCTCAATTTCTGTGAAACGTTAGTTTATGCACACGGACAATTTTTAGCGGGGCAGTGGTAGATGCTTGTCAAAATTTTGTGGCACTTGGCTTGTGCTAGGGAAAACCTGCCTACAGATACCTAGAGATACCTTGGCATGTGTAGCTTAAGGTCAAGGATATTACCTTGCTGGTAACGTTGCCGTTACAGGCACCAACGTTATCTTGTAAGAGCACAAAGTTTGCTGTCATCATGAGTCTTTTGGTAAAATTGTACAGCTACGACAAAAGTGATAAGCAGCGCTAAATTATGTACACTATTCTTGCCCGTGTATGTGGCGTGCTGTGGTGTTCATTACGCTTGATGTTCCGAAAATTCTCAGTAAACTGTTTTCTGAACAGAGAATAGGTAGTTTTTACCTCATCTATGGGCGTGGCATTTTTTTATACAGCTAAAGACTGAGCTTTCAAAGCCTCCTGACAGCTTCAATATTACTATACTAATGTATATGCTTGTTAAGGGGTGGTACAAATGTAAGCAGTTTAATACTTTGTCGCGTATAAACTGCTCAGTAAATTGAGATATTTTGAAGCTAAAGAAAACAAAGAACGCAAATTTTGTTTCTAGTTGTCGCATCATGCCTGTGTTTCACACTTATGCAAGATAGCGAGCTTCGAGTAAAAACGCTGGAGTTATCCTTCACAATTTTTTTTTCGCAAAGGTTGTGGGCGCAGAGGTTATGCGAGAGCACATGCGAAATCCACGCATTATAGTCACCGTCAATTAGTTTTACCTGATTATTCTTGGCAGAGCATGTTGTACTACGCTATGTTGACACTGAATTTGTTGCTTGGCACTTTGTCACTTATGTTCGAACGAAGTAGAAGCGTGCGCGAGTAATACTGAATATTTTGAGAATGGGAAACATAGCATGGGATCTTTCTTGAAACGCACATCGCGTGACCTGTTCTACCGTGGGGCAGGTTTTCTGGACTGCTCGTCGGGGGTCGTGCTCGTGGGCGGCTACGACATCAAGACGTGCACCAGAGACGCGCGCGACAGCCTCGGATACTGCGCCCAGTACAACATTCTCATCGACGACCTGACCGTCGAAGAGCACCTCATGTATTTCGCCATTGTACGTTGTCTCTATCTCAGCGTCGCTGCAATCTCCTCTTCCCCTCGCGAAATAGATCATACCACCCGTATCGTGGTTCGCTATAACGCCTCACATTTGTAAACACAAAAACAATGTTGATACGAGTTTGTGTGTTACACATACTGCCACATGCACACGAGTAGCGGCACTCGCACGTCGGAGCTCATGTGCCCTGAAGTATCTTTAGCTTAACATTTTATTTCGTCGTGACGCCGAAGCTGATCCCGGAGGCAACGTAGGAGAAAGGACGTGGTTGAGATCTGCTCCGCCAGCTGCCGCAGTCATCTTTGCCGTATGCTCAGGATAAAATGGTGTACTATTCTTGTGAAGTCAATCAAATAAATACTCTTGATGCGGAAATATTCTTATATTTAATGGATCTTTAACTAAGGTTTTGCTCCATTATATTATATGTCCCTGAATAACTTATAGTGTTTATGAGAACCTTTGATGCCATTCCAGTTTGTTTTGGAGCACTCTTTCGAATATTAAAAAACAAACAAATGTACTTAACCCGAAGTACTTGGAAAAGAAACAATAGCGTCATATGTGAGCTTGTACCACTAAAGATTGCCAGGATTGGCGGTCACGCCCCAGTTCCGTAAGGTTTTCTCACTGGAAGGAGAGCTACTCTTTTGTTCTAGAGTATGGCCATGTGACATTCGTGGCAGTGGAGCAACAGCTCTCTACTAGCAGAGGCGTCAGTTGCGGAGTTAGGAGAACTCGAGAGAGGGAGGAAGTGTCGGAAGAGAGAACAGTACTCAAAATTCAGCAGTATACGTAGACCTATACTTCTGGAAGGCTTGTCGGTGCGCAATGTTTGGACGTTTCGAAGTACCAGTTTTCCTGTTATCAGTGAAGCTTCTGTCTTTGCTAATTTTTTTTTTTTTTTTACGCCAGATCAAAGGTATCCCGTTCGCGAAGACGCGTGTCGTAACGTTCGGACTCCTGAACGACGTCGGGCTCAATGACTACCGCACGGTGCTCGCTTCAAACCTTTCTCCGGGGTTACAGCGACGACTGTGCACCGCCATGGCGATCATTGCGACGCCCAAGGTGAGACCAAACAGTCTGAGCAATCGGCAATCTTGAATATAGAAAAGGAAAAGAAAAATCGCGGCATATTCACGGAGTAAATGATGATGAGTGGACCGAAGCTGCCGTCCATTCGTCCGTCCATCTGTCTGTCTGTCTGTCTGTCTGTCTGTCTGTCTGTCTGTCTGTCTGTCTGTCTGTCTGTCTGTCTGTCTGTCTGTCTGTATGCTGGACTGGCTACACCGCCTGATGGATGTGGGATTGCCCTAGACCATAAGGAGCTTCGATACTTAAAAAAAGAAAGTGGACATAACATCACAAATAAACTTCGATAAGGGTTTTACCTAGTAATTTCACAAGACGCTGCCGATGGTTTCTTAGCCCGGGCGATCCATGTCCGTATCGTAGAAAGATTCTTACGAATCTCTGCAGCCCAACATGGAGCGTGGCGCAGCGTCAAGGAAAGTGGTAGGGCTGAAAGCTAAACAAGGTGTAGCGGCGCTCGCATTGGCGCAGTGTGGTGGCGCTGCAGTATGACATGGAGTAGGGTGCCTCGATGCGAGCGCCCTCCTAGGGTGAGGACAACCGCGTCGTATGCTAGCGCAACCGCCATTTTCTTGCATCCGCCGGTCGTGGGGAGCGCCTCGCTAGCGGTGGCTCCTGCTTGCAGTAGGTGCTTGCATTTTACTTTAGCTTCGATATTCATTCCTTTGCCGGAGTAGATGATAAGCGAGAGTAAACATTCAGTGACGCGTCCGCTAGTTCGAGAGGATTAGCGAAGGTATAGAGATTAGTATTCTTTCTTTTATAATAAGAGTTGACAACGGCGGGCAACTGCTCGTCTTCGTAGTTGCACCGTCGCCGCGAGCTTTCTGTCGTCGCGCTCACATATAAACATAGCGGAAAGTAACAGAAATTTGCTAAAGTAGATAGCTGCTGTGTATATAAGTACGAATGCCCGGCATACTTACTACCATTGTCACTATTACGCGCCGCCTACACGATTACATGGTGGCAAACTGTGTCATGCACTAGGTAAACAAAACAAAGACACGCGATGGAGTACAATCATTTAATACCGTTACGCAAAATATATTATGGACAAGACGATTATGGACTGTGTGCTTAATTCCATCGAGTTTTTTTTTCTCGTGTGTATGCGCATATAGCATACAAAAAGGCCTTCCTGTTAAGGTAGACTAACACCAGCACAAGTTTTGCTTCCGTGACCTCCGGCATGGGAGGATGGTTTCTGACGAAAATATATGCGTAGCCTCAGTCTTGTGTAGGTGCCTACCAGCATCTTGCCTATTTCTTCCTTATGTTCTGTGCGAGTACTCAGGCATGGCCGGTCTACCTTCGCAAGGTATTCTGTCAGAGAGCGTAGCGGCGACTTCATCGTGTGCACATTGTTTGTACACCACGCAATAACGCCCATGAAGAGTTCCTCATAGTTCTTCTGAGTGCGGATCACTTCCCTGCTCGGATAAATCAAGTTTCGTCCATCACTCGCATATTCCTTGAGAAGTGTGAAAGAAGCACATTCATTGCTGGCTGCACCAAGGAGGGCATCCTTGCACTGGGAACAGGATACGGACTTTAAAACGCTTTTCAGAATGTAGCCTCCAAGATAGTACAAAATGCAGCATTCCATTGCCGTCAGCTCCTGAATGAACCAAATCTCGGAGTCGTCTAATTCTTCAGTAAAATTTTCTGAGGGTTGCTTCTTCGCTTGAGAAAGAAGTTCGACGAGGTAGTCTCGATCATCAAGCTCATAGCTTGTTGTCCGCGGTGTATGTAGAAACTGGCTCACGCTCACAAGCCTGAGAGCACATTTCAAATCATATTGTCACGTTTCTTAAGACAAACTTGGTTTATTGGGTTCGTTGAATCGACTAGCCAGGCAGCAGCTCAGACAGATCGTCTTTGTCTTCTTCCACACCCGGATCTCACCCAAGCATATCAGGTGGCATTAGTCCCCCTTTGAAAGCATCGACTAGATGCTCGTAACGAAAAAAAAATGAAGGCATACACACGCAGATACAGAGAACCAAAAGAGGGAGAGTGCCAGTACTCGCAGCGCAAATGAGGAAATTTCGCCAATGCTTGCGCTAAGCGCAAAAACAAAAGGCATAAAAACACAGGAGAACACGAACAGCAGCAGCAGCAGCACAATGTCACGGCATGTCGTAACACGTAAACCACAAGGGCTACTGTGTGAAGTAGGGCTTCAGCCTAACGACATGCACGGTTTCGGGCCGAAGCTGTCGACGAGAAGACGCTGCTCCATCCGGAAATACCTCGTAGTTAAGATCGGTGACACGTATAAGAACCTTGTACGGTCCAAAATAACGGCTTAGGAGTTTTTCGGATAAGCCTGGTCGCCGGACAGGGGTCCACACCCACACTCGGTCCCCAGGGTGGTAGGTGACGTTTAGATGGCGGAGGTTGTAACGTCGTGCGTCTTCATCATGTTGGTGATTGGTGTTTATGCGAGCTAGCTGACGAGCTTCTTCGGCGTATTTAGTGTATTCCTCAGCGTCTGGAGCGATTTCATTGCTTTGGTCACACGGAAGCATAGCATCGAGCATGGTTCACACGTTGCGTCCGTAAACGAGTCGGAAAGGCGGAAATCGCGTTGTTTCTTGCGTTGCCGTATTGTATGAAAATGTGATGTATGGAAGAATTTCATCCCAGGTTTTGTGTTGTACGTCAACGTACATTGACAGCATGTCCGCTATGGTCTTGTTAAGCCTCTCTGTCAGTCCATTGGATTGCGGGTGATAAGCCGTCGTTTTTCGATGAGTTGTGCAGCTCAATTTAAAAATGTCCTCCATCATTCGTGCTGTAAATGACGTCCCTCTGTCCGTAATCACGCATGACGGGGTACCATGCCGTAGGACGATTTGGTGCACGAAGAACTACGCGACTTCAGAGGATGTGCCACGGGGTAACGCTTTTGTTTCAGCATACCGAGTGAGATAATCTGTCGCAACTATAATCCATTTGTTCCCAGAGGACGACAAAGGGAAGGGTCCAAGAAGGTCCATTCCCACGAGATCAAACGGTGTCTGTGGTGGTGCGATCGGCTGGAGCAGGCCCGCGGGTCTCACAGGCGCAGTCTTGCGACGCTGGCACTCAGGGCAGCCTTTCACGTATCGATGTACACTTGTTGATAGTCGCGGCCAGTAATACTGTTGGCGTACTCTGGCGAGAGTTCGCGAATAGCTCAAATGTCCTGACGTGGGCTCGTCGTGGCACGCAAGGAGGATCTCGTCCCGCATTTCGGTAGGAACAACGAGTAGGAAGGCTTTGTCGCTACCACGGGCGTTTTTCTTGTAAAGAATGCCTTTTCTTAGACAAAAAGAGGACAGTTCGCGAGCAATGTGTCGAGGGACCTGAGAGTTCCGGCCTTCTAGGGAATCAATAGCTGGGCGTAATTCGTCGTCTGCACGCTGTTTTGACATAAATTCGGAATCGCTGACTGCTCCGGGAAAGGCATCTTCATCCTCGGAGCCCCTGACAGCGTGCCCCACAGGCGCTCGAGAAAGCGCGTCGGCATCTTCATGTTTGCGCCCTGACCTGTACACAATCGTAATATCGAACTCCTGCAGACGAAAACTCCACCGAGCGAGACGGCCGGATGGATCTCTGAGATTTGCCAGCCAGCAGAGCGAGTGGTGGTCAGTCACCACTTTGAAGGGACGACCGTAGAGGTAAGGCCGAAACTTGGTCGTCGCCCACACGACTGCGAGGCATTCTTTTTCCGATGTAGAATAGTTGGTCTCGGCTCGAGAAAGAGTACGACTGGCGTAAGCTATTACATGTTCAACGCCACCATGTCGTTGTACAAGGACAGCGTCAAGTCCGACGTTGCTGGCATCTGTATGAATTTCTGTAGCAGCGTCCTCGTCAAAATGGGCAAGAACAGGGGCTGTTTGCATTCTCCGCCGTAGCTCTGTGAACGCTGCATCTTGTTCTGCGCTCCAAGTAAAAGGCACGTCATCTCGAGTGAGTCGCGTAAGAGGTTCAGCTATCTTCGAGAAGTTGGCGATAAATCGGCGATAATACGCGCACAAGCCGAGGAAACGGCGTACTGCTCTTTTATCTGATGGAACAGGGAAGGCGGCGACAGCAGCAGTTTTGTCTGGATCAGGTCGCACTCCATCCGCACTAATGATATGCCCCCAAAATTTCAGCTCTTCGTAGCCGAAATGGCATTTTTGGGGTTTCAGCGTGAGTTTAGCTGTGCGAATGGCGTCCAGAACCTTTCTCAGACGCTTCAGATGTTCTTCGAAGCTCTCGGAAAAGATGACCACATCGTCGAGGTAGACAAGGCAGCTTTGCCACTTCAAGCCAGCGAGAACAGTGTCCATCATCCTCTGAAAAGTGGCTGGGGCAGAACAGAGGCCGAAGGGAAGAACACGGAATTCGTAAAGTCCGCCTGGAGTCACAAACGCAGTTTTTTCTCGGTCTCGTTCATCCACTTCAATTTGCCAATAGCCACTCTTTAGATCGATGGACGGAAAATACTTCGCGCGTCGTAATCTGTCGAGAGAGTCGTCGACCCGCGGAAGCGGGTCGACGACTTTTTTCGTCTTTTTTCGTGACGCTATTAGGTTTCCTGTAGTCAATACAAAATCGTAGCGTTCCGTCTTTTTTCTTCACTAGAACGACTGGCGAGGACCAAGGGCTGCTGGATGGTTGAATAATCCCGTCATCGAGCATATCTTTCACTTGTGTCTGAATAGCCGCACGTTCTTTGGAAGAAACGCGATAAGGCTGCTGCCGGATGGGGCGGACGTCATCGTCGGTAAATAATTCGATGCTTGGCGAGGTGTGTTTGATGGACTTTGGAAGAAGAGGCGAAGCAAGACCGAAACTCCTTTAAAAGGTCATGAAGTGCAGCCTTTCTCTTGTCTGACAGCGTCGAATTAATGTCGATGTGGTCTAGGAATTCTTCATCCTCATGCGTTTCCTCGGACGCGAAGCACTCCGTGACGTCGGCAACAGGGTCTCCA